TTATTATTATTACCGCAAAATCAACACACTTGTTATTTCTTGTCACCAAAATCAAAATAAAATACATAAACTCCACGAACTATAATTATTCGCCCCTCAAAAAAACTCTGATGTTATCATTTAAGTAATCTAATATTCCATGAGCGGGCAGAAAATTATTAAAACGTTTCTGTTTTATGTTTATGAGGTCTACTTCTTTATTTGAACAAGCAACAAAAAAAAAAAAAACAATAACAACAACAACAAAAGCATAGAAATAATCTAAATCATTATGACACCGAAAAAAGGCAAACATTCTGACAACATTTTAGCCATTTCGAAAAAAATAATGAAAAAACAAAAAAAACAAATGAAACCAACAGTCAGTCATGATGCAAAAAAAAATATGGAAAACCAAAACAAAAAATTAGATGCTTTTTTATGTGTTTGTTTGCCTTTTGGTTGGTGGTCCATAGTCGGTAGTGGGTTTGTTCATATCAAGATCATGTCGCCATAAACATAATATTCGATACACGAAATTGTCAAAATCATATACATATGTATGTGACGAAAGCGGAGGTCAATGGAGAAGTTTGTGAATCTCCGGTCTTTTGAAAAAAAATTCTTTAAAAAATCCACGCCTTTTGTGGATCCTTGAAAAAAAATTCTTTAAAAAATCCACGGCTTGGGTGGATCCTAGAAAAAAAATTCTTTAAAAAATCTACGCCTTGTGTGGATCCTTGAAAAAAATTCTTTAAAAAATCCACGCCTTTTGTGGATCCTTGAAAAAAATTCTTTAAAAAATCCACGCCTTGTGTGGATCCTTGAAAACAAAATTATTTAAAAAATCCTTTTCTGGATCCTTGAAAAAAATTCTTAAAAAAATCACGCCTTGTGTGGATCCTTGAAAAAAAATTATTTAAAAAATCCTTTTGTGGATCCTTGAAAAAAATTCTTTAAAAAAACCACGCCTTGTGTGGATCCTTGAAAAAAAATTCTTTAAAAAAACCACGCCTTGTGTGAATCCTAGAAAAAAATTCTTTAAAAAATCTACGCCTTGTGTGAGTCCTTGAAAAAATATTCTTTAAAAAAATCCACGCCTTGTGTGGATCCTTGCAAAAAAAATTATTTACAAAATCCACGCCTTGGGTGGATCCTTGAAAAAAAATCTTTAAAAAATTCACGCCTTGGGTGGAGCCTTGAAAAAAAATTCTTTAAAAAATCCACGCCTCGAAAAAAAAATTCTTTAAAAAATTCTCGCCTTGTGTGGATCCTCGAAAAAAAAATTCTTTAAAAAATCACGCCTTGTGTGGATCCTTGAAAAAAAAATCCTTTAAAAAATCCACGCCTTGTGTGGATCATTGAAAAAAAATTCTTTAAAAAATCACGCCTTGTGTGGATCCTTGAAAAAAAAATCCTTTAAAAAATCCACGCCTTGTGTGGATCATTGAAAAAAAATTCTTTAAAAAATCCACGCCTTGTGTGGATCCTTGAAAAAAATATTCTTTAAAAAATTGAAAAAATATTCTTTAAAAAAATCACGCCTTGTGTGGGTCCTTGAAAAAATATTCTTTAAAAAATCCACGCCTTGTGTGGGTCCTTGACAAAATATTTTTTAAAAAATCCACGCCTTGTGTGAGTCCTCGAAAAAATATTCTCTAAAAAATTGAAAAATATTCTTTAAAAAAATCCACGCCTTGTGTGGGTCCTTGAAAAACATATTCTTTAAAAAAACTCGTATCGTATTCTACCCTCGTATCGTATCGTATCATTGTTTATTTATTTTATTTTTGTTTGTGTTTTATAATTTTTGTTCACATAGCTCTGCACCACCTTGTATGGTGACAACAGTCACCAAGTGGACAAACACACACACACATTTACTTGTATATCCCCCCAACGACACAACGTGATCCAAAACATTTTAAGCTACTGTTTCTGTTTATTCTTACTTCGAATTCTGTGTCTATTTGTTTTTCTTTACCAGGTTTCATCCACCTTCCCACCCACCTTCCCACCCACCTTTCCATTACCTATTCCGCAAAAGATGGATGAGAGAAGGTATCGTTGGGTTGTTTTATAATCCAAATAATGTTCCGATCATATTTCGATGATACTACAAACATACATACAAACAACAAAAAACAATTGTCTGGTCTCGTCTTACATGTATCACAAATGTTTTCTTGTTGTTGTCGCTGGTTTTTATTTTCCATTATGACATGTCTTGATGTTTGGGAGCACCATGTTAGGTTTGAAGTGTAGGCTGAGGCTCGTGGGAGCTTACAGGACTTATGTGTGTGGTGTGGTGCTCTGGGTATCCGGCAACAATAGGAGGGGATCGTTTGTATGTTGGACATAACTGACAACATGCAAGACAAATTTGTTTTAAAGTTGTCATAACGATGAAAACCGAAAAACCTTTTTAGGGACTGGAGTTCCCCCAGAGTGCTTAGATGACCAAATTGGAACTTTACTCAATTTAAGTTTTGTGTTGAGGGACTTTGTTTTTGTTAGACATCAAAAAAGGCAAACAAGCTCAGATCGTAAAATATTTTTTTGAAGATCGAAATAGGCGTGGATTTTTTAAAGAATATTTTTTTCAATGATTTTTTAAGGAGTATTTTTTCGAGGACCTACAGAGGCGTGGATTTTTTAAAGAATATTTTTTTCAATGATTTCTTAAGGAATATTTTTTCGAGGACCTACAGAGGCGTGGATTTTTTACAGAATATTTTTTCAATGATTTCTTAAGGAATATTTTTTCGAGGACCTACAGAGGCGTGGATTTTTTAAAGAATATTTTTTCAATGATTTCTTAAGGAATATTTTTTCGAGGACCTACAGAGGCGTGGATTTTTTACAGAATATTTTTTCAATGATTTCTTAAGGAATATTTTTTCGAGGACCTACAGAGGCGTGGATTTTTTAAAAAAAATTTTTCATAGACCTACAGAGGCGTGGATTTTTTACTTACTTACTTAGCTGGCTTGTGACAGAACTTACGTTCCATAAGCCGAGCTTAGAAACGATTTCCAGGCGCATCGGTCTTTTGCGCAATTTTTCCAATTTAAAACCATCAGCTGGTTCGCTTTTATATTTTATATGCCTTCTGGGCTAGGGCATCTTCATCCATTCTCACAACATGACCTAGCCAACGTAGTCGCTGCAGCTCAATACGTCTAACAATGTTGATGTCCGAGAATAGCTTGTACAACACATGGTTAATTCAAAGGCGATATTCACCGTCAACGCAGATCGGCACATAGATCGTTTGGAGAATTTTTCTCTAAAACACTCCAAGATCTGCCTCATCTGCTTGCATAAGATTCATATAATAGCACGGCTAATAGCAGCGTCTTACAAAGTGTGAGTTTGGTCTGGCGTGAGGTGGCCTTGCTTATGAACAGCTTACTCAGACCATAGTAGCACCTGTTGGCCATCACTATCCTTCTCCGAATTTCAATACTGATGTCATTCGTTTTGTTGATGGCGGTACCAAGGTATATAAAATATTTGACAACATCGAAGCTGTAGTTCTTAAACTCCAAATTGGTCCGAGACTACTGGACGTCTTGCACGTTGATACCATCAGTTTGGTCTTCTCGCCGTTTACTGCCAGACCCACTTTTGCAGACTCCTTCTCAATTTGTTCAAAGGTGGCTGTTACCGCTCTCAATGTTCGACCCATTATGTCGATGTCATCGGCTTAGGCGAGTAACTGGTGTTGTTTGGTGTACAGAGTGCCATTTCTCTTCACCTTTGCCTCTCGTATGACCTTTTTCAGCAGGATGTTAAAAAGGTCACATGACAAACTGTCACATGTCTGAATCCTCGTTCGCTATTAAACGGCTCCGAGAGGTCCTTTCCGACTTTAACTGCTGATCTTGTTCCAGTTAAAGTTATCCTGTCTGCCAAACGCAGACATGGCTACACCTCTGCTTTATAGTCGACGAATAGGTGGAATGTGTCGATGTGTTTTTCGTGGGCTCTTGCCAGGTCTGAACCCACATTGGTATGGTCCAATAATATCATTGACCATTGGCTTCAGTCGTTCACACAGTACGCTGGATAGCACTTTATATATGCGATGGGAAGGAGATTTATTCCTTTATAGTTGGCTCATATCGTCTTGTCTTCTTTTTTTGTGCACGGGACACAGGATGCTGACGTTCCAATCATTGGGCATGCATTCCTCGAGCCAAATTGTACTAATCAGCTGGTGCATGCTCCTTACCACCATCTGACCACCAGTCTTGAATAGTTCGGCTTGTAACCCATCGACACCAATGCAAGGCGTAATTATCTGATTTACTTACGCCAGTCTCTTTCCATCGCATTTCCTGTAAGGCAATAATATCGGCTTTGTACTTCTCGAGTACAAGGTGAAAAATACGCCTGTTCTGTACAACGTGCGGACATTCCAATTGCAGATTTGCAGATCGTGGCCCTTTATACGTTTGCGGGGGTCGTCAAATTGGGGGGTTTGGTTTGGTTTTCTTTTTCGTTGCTTTTTCATAGTAAGAGGGGTTTTCCGAGTGTGGGCAACTAACCCGACACCTCAACGCAGTTTGGTATCTATCATCCCCTACGTCAACCTGTCTTGGATTTTTTCAAAGGCCTACAGAGGCGTGGATTTTTAAGGAATATTTTTTAACACCAAAATAGGCGAGGATTTTTTAAAGAAAATTTATTCGAACACCAAAATAATATTCACTTTTTGCAACCTCAACTTTTTGTTTGCATGCCAACAATTAGTTGCTGCAAACCAAACTGCTGGTAGCATGCATGAATGGTTGCATGCAACCAAAAGACATTCGATTTGAACTTCATGTTACCAACAACAGTAGTCGTAACTAATGTGATGACAGTAATGTTCGACTGGCACACAATATTTCGATGCCAGGGGCCAAATACACAATTTTCTATTCAAGCTGCCATGGCCGGCAAACCATTTATGGATTTAATGACCAGCGTAATTGTAGATCTAACGGACATGTTCGAGTTGTGGCATTAACTACTTACCAAGCGTTAGTGGCCAGATTAGCCAAACTGGCTGCAGCTGCGGCCGCAGCAGAATCCGCTACTGAGGTACTCTGTTTGCATTTGCTGTGTATGACCAATTGCAGCCAATTGGGTACCGAGGGTAAAGATGTTGGGTCGGGTGTATATCTGGGGAGGAGGAAAATAATAATTAATTTCAGATTATTTTTGTAATATCCCTTTTGCGAGGTTCATTAGCCACCTACCTTATGATCGAATTACTATGCTTGGCCTTGGGCACGGCAAATATTTCACAGGTCTGTGACGACTTCTCAAAGGAATCATCTATTTCCGGTATGGTCGACAGATCGTCATTATCATTTAGTTCCACCTCCAGGCTGGACAACGAACTCAAGGAGTTGCGTACACCACTACTGGCCGGCAAGTCCACACTTCCACGTCCACCTCCATCTCTGGTTTTCAAATCGGCCGTGATTTCTCCCACATTAGCCTCGAATTGGTTGACATCGAATTTAATTACCACTAAAAGAGAATCAATAAAAAAACAAACGAAAGAAGCAGAAAGAGAAAAACGAAGAAACAAGGTGCGAGAAGGTAGCAAACAACGAATAACAAAAACATATAAAAAAGAAGCAACAAAAAGGTATGCGGCGATCAATGTGCCATATTTGAAATGCCGGCCGACCGGACCGGACCGAACCTACTCTGTATGCGGTGAGAGTGTCTCCTTCCAACACAATATAACTGAACGCAACAACGACAACTCAAACAACGGAACACAAACAAAAAAACATAAACCAAAAGATGTTAAAGCAAATTTTCGAACGCCAACATGTTTTAACACCCCAAAAAATTGGTCTAGGCTAGGATGTCAGTCATCGCTTTCCCCTGGTTTGTAACTCACATTTTTCCAATGGTCCCAATTTCTTTGCCAAACCAAACATCATTTCCGGAGTCCAGAATTCTGGTATTCTGGCATATACCGATCCCGCATCGGCAGGCAATTGAAAGCCCAACTTGTGTAGTAGCAGGACAAATGGTTGATACATCATCGTATTGGCCTGATCGGTGTTCCATTGGACAACTGGTATGGATTTATTTTTGACTGGAAAGAAACCAAAAAAAAAAAAAATTGAGTTAGAGAAATATTATTGAAAAACTTGTTAAGAATATTTTTCAAGGATCATCCCAAGAGGCGTGGATTTTTTCAAAGATATCTTTTCCAAAGACCTATTGAGGCATAGATTTTTAACGAATATTATTTGAAGGTACATTACAGACTAGGATTTTAAAAAAAAAATATTTTTTGAAGGTTCATTACAGGCATCGATTTTTTAAAGAATATTTTTGAAGGTCCATTATAGGCGTGGATTTTTTAAAGACTATTTTAGAAGGTCCATTATAGGCGCGGATTTTTTTAAGAATATTTCTGAAGGTCCATTATAGTCGTGGATTTTTTAAAGAATATTTTTTGAAGGTCCATTACAGGCGTGGATTTTTTAACAATATTTATTGAAGGTCCATTACAGGCGTGGATCGCAAGAGGCGTGGTTATTTTAAACAATATTTTTTCAAGGACCATCCCAGGAGGCGTGGATCCCAAGAGGCGTGGTTATTTTAAACAATATTTTTTCAAGGACCATCCCAGGAGGCGTGGATCCCAAGAGGCGTGGTTATTTTAAACAATATTTTTTCAAGGACCATCCCAGGAGGCGTGGATCCCAAGAGGCGTAGTTATTTTAAACAATATTTTTTCAAGGACCATCCCAGGAGGCGTGGATCCCAAGAGGCGTGGTTATTTTAAACAATATTTTTTCAAGGACCATCCCAGGAGGCGTGGATCCCAAGAGGCGTGGTTATTTTAAACAATATTTTTTCAAGGACCATCCCAGGAGGCGTGAATTTTTTAAAGAAGGTTTTAAGGAATATTTTTCAAGGATCATCCCAGGAGGCGTGGATTTTTTAAAGAATGTTTTAAGGAATATTTTTTCAAGGACCATCCCAGGAGGCGTGAATTTTTTAAAGAATGTTTTAAGGAATATTTTTTCAAGGACCATCCCAGGAGGCGTGGGTTTTTAAAATAATTTTTTAAGGAATATTTTTTCAAGGACCATCCCAGGAGGCGTGGATTTTTTAAAGAATGTTTTAAGGAATATTTTTTCAAGGACCATCCCAGGAGGCGTGGATTTTTTTAAAGAATGTTTTAAGGAATATTTTTTCAAGGACCATCCCAGGAGGCGTGGATTTTTTAAAGAATGTTTTAAGGAATATTTTTTCAAGGACCATCCCAGGAGGCGTGGATTTTTTTAAAGAATGTTTTAAGGAATATTTTTTCAAGGACCATCCCAGGAGGCGTGGATTTTTTAAAGAATGTTTTAAGGAATATTTTTTCAAGGACCATCCCAGGAGGCGTGGATTTTTTTAAAGAATGTTTTAAGGAATATTTTTTCAAGGACCATCCCAGGAGGCGTGGATTTTTTAAAGAATGTTTTAAGGAATATTTTTTCAAGGACCATCCCAGGAGGCGTGGATTTTTTAAAGAATTTTTAAGGATTTTTTTTCAAGGACCATCCCAGGAGGCGTGGATTTTTTAAAGAATTTTTAAGGATTTTTTTCAAGGACCTGCAGATTCATGGATTTTTTAAAGAATGTTTTAAGGAGTATTTTTTTAAGAACTTGCAAACGCGTGGACCAAAACAAGGCCTAGATCCTTTAAAGGATATTTTTCAAGGATAAAAACAAGACGTAGATCCTTTAAAGGATATTTTTCCAAGGATCAAAACAAGGCATAGATCCTTTAAATTATATTTTTCATGGACCTACAGAGACGTACATTTTTTAAAGGACATTTTTTCATGGACCTACAGGGCCTGAATTAAAGATTATTTTTAAAGGATCAAAACAAGGCGTAAATCATTAAAATACATTTTTCATAGGCCTACAGAGGCCTGGATTTCCTAAGGAATATTTTTCAAGGTTCAAAAGAAGGCATAGATTCTTTTAAAAAAAGTTGCTCATTGATCTACAGAGGCGTAGATTTTTTAAAGGAAATTTGTTCATGGACCTGCAGAAACCTGAATTTCTTAAAGAATATTTTTAAGGATCAAAAACAAGGCGTAGAGCATTTAAAGAAAATTTTTCATGGACCTGCAGAGGCCTGAATTTCTAAAAATATATATTTTTAAGGATCAAAAAAAGGCGTAGATCCTTTAAAGAAAAATGTTTATGGACCTGCAGAGGCACGCATTTCCTGGAATATTTTTAATATTTTAGAAATTTTCGTTAAAGGCTCTACGCCTGGTTTTTGATCCTTAAAAATATTCTTTAAGAAATTCAGGTCCACGAAAAAATTTCCTTTAAAGGATCTACGCCTCTGTAGATCAATGAGCAAAAATTATTAAAAGGATCTACGCCTTCTTTTGAACCTTGAAAAATATTCCTTAGGAAATATTTTTAGGGATCAAAACAAGACTTAGGTCCTTTTAAATATAAATTCCATGCGGGTTTTTAAGAATATTTTTTCAAGGCGTGGGTTTTTTAAAGAATATCTTTTTAAGGGCCAACAGAAGGTGTGGATTTAAAAAACTATATTTTGAAAGACCAAAAGATGGCGTAGATTTAAAAAAATATTTTTCAAAGACAAAAACATGGCATTGATTAAAAATAGTTTTTTTTCAGGGACTATCAAAAGGCTAAGGTTTTAAAAAATATTTTGTTAAGGTCCATTACAATGGGAGGGTTTAAACAATATTGTATCAAATACCGTTTAATTTCCCTGGGATTAGTATAATTTAGTATTAAATTCCATATTTAAGTTGTACAGGGTCTATGTGACGTATAAGTGCCGACAACACTCATACGCCACCCATTACAAAAATGGTTTTTAATAGATTTTCTTTCAACTTACATATTGAATGATAGGCAACTGGTTCCATTATCACCGATAAATTCTGATGATCTTCCCTTAGGGGATTTTTCCGCAAAATCAATTTGACATAACAACATTCCAATAACAATTTCTGCAGCCATTCCAAATGTTGTTTCTTTTTCTCTTTTATAATTAAATCGCGAAGAATCTAAAAAAAAATAAATTAAATATTAAATCGACATTCGGTCTATTAGAATTGGTAGTTATACCTGTATATCATCAGAGGGTTTACCAGCTATGGCTGTATCCTTCATTTCTATACCAGATTCGGTGGTACCTGAAGTGGGAGTCGTTAACAAAGTACGCTGATACTGAGCATCTTCATATTTCATTAAATCGTCGTATTCGACAAGGGTTATTATGTCCTGAAATTAGAAGAAGGTGAGATAGTTCATATAGGATAAGAGAAATGACGATTAAGGTTAACTTAATTGTCTTCTTTTTCTTATGTATACAGTCGAAGTCGTATAAGTCAACGATCAAGGGATCGGCGAAATTGGTTATAACCGATATCAAATAAAGAGCAGAATTTGTTGGCTTTTGGATACCGTTATAGATGATTTTAGTTCCATATTTAAAACTGCTTTCAATACATCTAAAATAGTATGTAAGCTTTATGTCCTTTCTCACCTGTTGCAATAGCTGTTGTATTATCGATATCCTCGATTTCTGTTTGTTGCCATTGTTGCCAAACAATTTCACAATTTTTCCAACAACATCATTATTTTTCTTGCTCTGAACATAATACCAATACAGCGTGTCCATTTCCTCTTGAGTCCAAGTGCTATTTTTATTTTCAATTAAGATGAAGATAATTTAATGAAATAAAATAAATGCATTAGTTGATGTATGGTTTTAAGTTTTTGTATAAGATTGAGAAATTCCGAGAGTAAAATAGATAAAATAGACAAACAATAATGAAGCTAAAAGAAGTTTTAAAACATATTAGCAATTTTTTGTACAGAATATGATACAAAGTTTTTTATTTACATAGTGAATAAATAGAGTTAGTGATCGGCAATGACCGAATCTTGGATACCCTTCACCACTTGTTGTGTTATCAAAATAAAATATAAAATATTCTGTAAGTGATTGCTTAGTTAAGAGGGGCGAATAAGTACCGACAACACTTATACGCCATCAGTTTTGAAATATGCGATTTTTTAACCTCGTTATAGCCTGAGAAAATATATATTGGAAAAATATTCCCATATTTATCCACTAAACGTATATTAACCAAAAGATAATCTATGATACAGTAGTAACTACAGTAATCTATGATACTGTCAGTACAGTAGTAACTATAAATATATTGGTCCCGGGTTCGATTCCCAACGAAGGAGGACAAATTCTTTCAATAATTTATCAACATCAGCACATAAGTTCAAAATAGCAATGGCAGGTGATAACTTCACCTGCACTGCACACAATTAATGAATTGTTTCTAGGCAACGATAGATGGCAGATATATGACGGGTCATCTAGTCAGGTACGGATGGTTCAGAAGAAAATGGTAACACTAAATTAGCAAGAACCCAAACCACTGCGCACAATGTAAGAATTGTTTCTAGGAAACGGTAGATGGCAGCCCCATCACCTAGGCAGGGTACAGACCGCAGTTGCTGATGGTTCACCCAGAAGAAAATGACAGCACTAAATTAGCAAGAACTCAAACCACTGGACACAATTTATGAATGGTTTTTAGGTAACGACAGAGGGCAACCCCATCATCTAGCCAGATTACAGCCCACATTTGCGAATGGTTCAGCCTGAATCGCGTATTTTATGTAAGGTAGTAGGAAGCATCACGTTGAAGTAAAGAAAGTTCTTCTCTATGACACCAACTGAGGGGAATATCAAAGCTAAAGAAATGCGAATTTAGTGCTTTTGTCCACATCAGGAGACGGGCAAAATATTCGTGAACGAATGGCAGGACAAGATTTTAATTAGATATAGTTTAAACGAAGCGTTAGCTTCAGATATAACCTTTCCAATCGTTATTTTCAGGTAATAGAGGAAGCAAGGCGCCACCCAGAGGAAAATGGCAACACTACATGAGCAGTCCACATTTGCGAATGGTTTAGCCTGAATAATGTATTTTACGTAAGGTAGTAGGAAGCACCACGTTGAAGTGAAGAAAGTTCTTATCTATGGTACCAACTGAAGGGAATATTTAAGCTAAAGAAATGCGAATTTAGTGCTTCTGTCCACATCAGAAGACAAGCAAAATATTCGTGAACGAATGGCAGGAAAAGATTTTAATTAGATATAGTTTAAATGAAGCGTTAGCTTCAGATATAACCTTTCCAATCGTTATTTTCAGGAAATAGAGGAAGCATGGCTTGAACTGGAGGAATGGCAAGAGATAGCGCCACCCAGAGGAAAATGGCAACACTATATGATCAAGAACCCAAACCACTGTACAAAATTTGAGAAGACATAGTTTCTAGTCAACGATAGATGGCTGCCCAGGCTGATCTACTTCAAGCATCTAGAATAAAAAAGATGACGATATAGTATACAACCTAGCCAACCTAGATCTCTAATATTCTCCTCTTTACTCCATTTTTCAGCCGCTTAGATTAGCAAATGATGGGCAGGACCATTATATTATGGGCTATGTAAAACCATGGACCTCTATTGAACATTTTCTTAACATCATCCTAGGAGAAATATCGATTGAAATGCAAAATTGCAGTGATCATGGCTAAGTCGACATAGGATTTTATTCAGATCAATAATATATAATTTTTGGGCTTTCCGAAGAAAAATGGAGGAATGGCAAAAGATAGCGCCACCCAGAGGAAAATGGCAACACTACACGAGCAAGAACCCAAACCACTGCACAAAATTTGAGAAGACATAGTTTCTACTCTACGATAGATGGCTGCGCCAGGCTGAAGTAGATCAAGCATCTAGTTAGCTGGAATAAAAAAGATGACGATATAGTATACAACCATTGATAGCAATTAATTGGCTAAAGAATAAGAAAGCAGCAGGAGCCGATGGATTACCAGCCGAACTATTCAAGACCGGTGGTCAGATGCTGGTCAGGAGCACGCATCAGCTGATTAGTACAATTTGTCTAGAGAAATTCATACCCAATGATTGGAACCTCAGCATCCTGTCTCCCGTGCACAAAAAAAGAAAGACAACTATAGAGGAATTAGTCTATCCAGTATGCTGTGTGAACGTCAATGACATTATTGGACCATAACAGACCTGGAAAATCCACCATAGACCAGATTTTAACTCTGCTCCAAATCCTGGAAAAGACTGACGAAAAATACACCGACACTTTCTACCTATTCGTCCACTATAAAGCCGCATTCGACAGTCCAATACGCTCCAAGATTTTTAAAGACATGTCAGCGGTCGGCATTCCCGCAAAACTAATACGGCTATACATGATAACTTTAACTGGCACAAGGTCAGCATTTAAAGTCGGAAAAGACCTCTCAGATCACTTCAATGCCGAATGAGGATTCAGACAAGGTGACAGTTTATAGTGTGACCTACTCAACATCCAGCTGGAAAAGGTCATACGAGATGCAAATGTGAACAGAAATGACACTCTGTCCGGCAAACAGCGTGTGTTACTTGCTTTCGCCGACGACATCGACGTAATGGGACAAGTGATAACAGCCCCCTTTAAAGAAATTGAGAAGGAGTCTGCCAAAGTGGGACTGACAGTAAAAGGCGAGAGGACCAAGATGATGGTATCAACGCGCAAGAAGTCCAATAGACTCGGACAAACTGTGGAACTTGAAAACTACAGCTCCAACAGACGCTACCATGGTCTGCGTAAGCAATTCTACAAGACGCTGATATTACCCGTGTTGTTGTATAGATTTGAAGCATGGGTACTTGCGCAAGCAGATGAGGCAGCTCTTGGGGTGTTTGAGAGAAAAATTCTTCGAAAGATCTATGGGCCAATCTGCGTCGACGGTGAATATCGCCGTGGAAAGGACAATGAGCTGTACCATATATTCTCTGGCATCGACCAGACCAAACTCACACTCTACAAGACGCTGATATTACCCGTGCTGGTGTATGGATCAGAAGCATGGGTACTTGCGCAAGCAGATGAGGCAATTTTTGGCGTGTTTGAGAGAAAAATTCTCAATGGGCCAATCTGCGTCGACGGTGAATATAGCCGTGGAAAGAACAACGACCACAAGACCGACGTGTCTGGTAATCATTTTTAAGCGCCGCCTATGAAACAAATTTAAACTAAAAAAAAAACAGTTTTAAAAAAATCGTTTTGACCACCAGTTCGACAAAATATTCACCTATGGGGGCTACATCAAAACGAAGGCACTTCCGCTTTAAAACCTTAATAAGCTCTTCTCCCAGAATTCAGTATGCCGAAATTTAATGTGAAAATTAAAATAAATCCTAGATTTTTTTAGATTGAACAACCACCGCCTTTAATAGTATAACCAGGTAATAGATAGCAATACCTACTTGAACCAAAAAAAAAAGTAGTAAACAAAGCCAAAAAAAA